TTATTAGTATTATATTATTTGTTAGAATCAAAGTAAAAGATATAAATAATTAACATACAACTAAAATCTTAGAGAATCTTTGGGGAATTCTTTCCCATCGAGATAAGGCTTTAAATACCTAATTGACTTCATGATTTTGTCTATTTCAGCATTATAACTGGAGCCACCCCACCACATTGAATAAGAAATTGAAGGATTTTTGATTGAAATGACATGAACTCCACAAGAATAAAGAGCTCCCATGCACGACAAATCATTGTAGGCACCTAATATTTCAACAACAACGCATCCTTTCTTTAAACATACACATCTAAACAAGTGAGAGCCATTTCCTGAGATCATAAGTTTTATTGCTGCCCAGATTTTGCCACATTCAATTAAACTTTGCCTATCCTGTAAGCATTCCCAATTATATTCAGGAAAGCTTGATTTTGCTGTACTCACCATTTGGTCAAAGTTTATAATCTTTCTTGTTGCTTGTCTTTGGTAGAAAGCATACTTTGTTTGATTTATTTGTGAGAGATTTAAGTGCTTATGCACAAAATCTCGAATTAATTGAATAGGATATCCAATATAGTCTGCATTGACTAATGGTCTATAAGGGAAATAAACCGAGTTGCAATGTATTAACTCATACTTTTTCATCCTAAATATCCGATTTTCTTTTGGTACCCCTAAGAAATCAAGCATTTCATGAGCAATTGGAATATTTGGAATGTTTAAGATTTTATGTGTCAAAATCACATCAATAGGAAGTAATAATAAAGGTCCCATATAGTCTAGAATCCAATGTCCATATCTATCTGAGTCTCTCCCAACGGCAATTGCTTTATCATATGATGCTATAACTTTTCCTTCTCCTGGTTTCTTTGTAGCAACAAACCAATCATTTTCATCGGGAATGATAAAATAATCGTTAGTAACAATTGCCGAAGCATGATTTATATATACATTACGCAGCAACGCCATTGTACAATTAAAAATATCGAAGTAGTGTGGTAAAATTAGTGGTTGATTGGGGTAGTTTTCTTCTTTACTTTCCCAAGCGCCATTTTTCCTGAGTTGGGCACCTCCATAGTCATTTTTATGTATAATAATAGACTCTGAGATAATGAACTGACTTGGAATATATCTGATTAGCTTTGTATTCTTAATTTCATTAAGATAAGGATACCTCACCATTTGGTTAAGTGACATTTGTAAGAAAAAATCACTTCCTTTATTCATGAAGTAGCATACTAAGATGAAAATAACTTCTTGTATCATTAATAAACGCTGAGCGCTCATTAATGAAAATATAGCACTGTAAGAACTATCGTTGCTTTTGCATTCAATATGTGGAAAATGGAATTATCATATAATATAATGGTAAAGAACATGTGTTCATTTTCGTAAACTATTCAAAAGCAAGACTATAATGAAGAATTTTCAATCAGTTATTTTTTTATTTGAGAAGAAATTTAAGTAATGAATTTAATAAATGTTTGATGTATTTTTTAGAGAAGTTTAGAGATTGAAGCCTCAATATATAAAAAATATTTATACCGTTTTCAAGTATTTAAAATTTCAGTACTTTTTACATTCATGAAAATTATTTTATTTTGATTTATGGATGTTTTATATAAATTTATAAATGGAAGTAAAAAAAAAAGTAGGGGCTTCCAGGGGCTGCGCCCCTTCTAGCCCCTAAAAAACTAAAACTAGAGGAAAACTAAAAAATTATATAAATTAAAGTTTTTATTCGATAAGAACGACATCGCTATCGTTTTCTTCTTCCTCCTCCTCTTCTTCATAGTCAGTATCTGATGGCTCTTTGTCAGCCACATGACCAGCAACAAATATTGAGACAAATTGTTTCTTTGGTTTTGTTAGCAGGAACTTTTGATGGTCGTAGAACACGAATTCTACATTTTGAAAATGTTGTGCTGAGTATTCTGTGAAATGGGAAATTGGAATTGGTTCTCCCATGCCAAAACCAGCAATGGACGCGAACAAAACATCGTCTTCGACTCTTGCAGGTTTGTCAATTGCAACAGTAGTTATTATGTGAGGTTTTCCTTCACATCCTGCAAGAGATTGTACATGATAGATTGCTTTTTCTTCTCCCTCAGGAACTGAAAGTGTGAAATGGAATGAGAGTTCTCCATATTCATTTGCTTCTTCGTAATAGTTGTATGTTGTAGGATACACCAATTGAAATTTTCCTATTCTTGTTTCCCTCAGGTGTTGTCTATATTGCTTGGGAAAACATAAAATAAATTGCTCTATAGCTTGTGTTGCTATTAGATTGGTTGTAACTGGTAATTTTGAGGCGAAAAGGTCTACAAGAACACCGGGATTTTTTATGTCGTTTTCAATTGGTTTAACAGATTCTATGACTTTGTTAAACATTTCACTATAATCTGTGTTGTCTTCGCCCCCAATTGTTAAGAAGTTTATACAACAATTTCAGTCTTTTCATGGCGTATTTTCTTTGAATGGATTCGGGTAGCGAGAGGTTACAGTCGTCGGTTTGTGTTTCGTTACTCGAATATTGTTCAAGAGAAATTAAATCTTGAAATTGTGCTCTTGTTAACATACTTGTAGAACTATGTGAAACTTGTTCTGGTGCTGGTTGTAAATCTGTTTCAGATGTTTCTGTTGTGTTTTGAGAAGAAGAAGAACTCAAATTGTTGGACAATTTGTCTTGAATTGTAGAACTATGTGAAACTTGTTCTGGTGCTGTTTGGACAACTGTATCTGTTGTGTTTTGAGAAGAAGAACTCAAATTGTTGGACAATTTGTCTTGAATTGTAGAACTATGTGAAACTTGTTCTGGTGCTGTTTGGACAACTGTATCTGTTGTGTTTTGAGAAGAAGAACTCAAATTGTTGGACAAATTGTCTTGAATTGTATGAGGAAGTTGCTTTGGTATTATAGGAGGTCGTAAGGGTTTTGAGAATGGTGAGACATAAGTTGTAGGAACTTTAACTGCAGAGGTAGTCGACGAATTGTTTGCGACACTTTTTCTTCCTTCCATTATGAAAAATAAACTGTTTTTTTCGGACTACTCATAGAAAAGTTTAAAATAAACGGTTTTTACCAACGGAGACCCCCTCTATTTTTTTATTTTATTTAATAGTTACCGTTGGCAAACCGTTCCATCTCAAATATTGAATGAACTATAAACGTTTTTTGTTTTCTATATATACTTTTTTGTCCAACGGTAAAACTTTTTACACAACGGTTTTTGAGAGTCGTCGCCGTTGACTTTTTTGTAGAGCACTCAAAATAGTATAACTTTGTCCGGACAAGTAAGGGTCTATCGTCGCTACAGGAAAAGTTACAGGCGTTCCAAGGAAGTATACTTTGAGAAGCCTTTTCCCCTTATAGAATGAGATAGGACGGTTATTTTACAAAACTGACAACACTTTGACCGAGTAGTTTTTTGTGCTGAACAAAAAGTGTCATATAAACATCTGTCAAAAACCGCTTTTTAACTTCACTTAAAATGCCACGTAAGCTACGTAAGAATATACGTAAGAGGAAGAGAGCATTGAAACATCCAATAGTAAAACTGACACCACAACAACAGTTGCAACAACAAATGATGAATGACCCCACTATGTTGCAACAAATGTCAAGCAACCCTATGCTTTTAAACCGAGTTATTGGTGCACAGAGTGGAGGTTTAAGAGCGGCACTTTTAGCGAAAATGGCAGGCTATGGTGGAGCTGCAGACGGAACAGCTTATAACCCTCAAAGTCAAATGAATTTGAGTTCACTCAAAAATCAAATAACAGATGTCAAAAAGTCAAACATAGACATACAGAAACAAATAAGTGAAAACGAAAAGAAACTAGAATATGACAGACACACAAAGAAACTCAATGAGTTAAACGTAGAGAAAAAGAAGAAAGAAGAACAACTGAAAGAACTAAGTACAGAGGAATATGCGAAAAAAGTGTCAGAAAAAGCAGCAGAAGTAGCAAAAATGGAACAAGATGTTATAAATTTGAAAAACCATACTACTCAATATAAAGTACTGAAAGATGAAGAGATAAAACAAAAAGCCCTGAAGACATATATGGATAGCGATGAGTATAAAAAAGAAGTTGAAGCAAATGTAAAGGCAGAAAAACTTTTACAGTTGCAAAACCAAACCGTACAGTATGAAAACTTAGCACAAGAAAGTAAAAATAACGACGCAGCCATGCAAAAGGCAATGAAAAGCGCAGAATATATAAAAGCTAATAATGACTGGTTAGATGCCCAAGCCAACGCTAAAGCAGCCCAACTTATAGGGTCAATAAGGACAAAAATACAAGCGGATGAAGACAGTTCAAATGAAGCTTTAATGAATGCTGACTTTAAGAACGCCTTCGAAGCTCTTCATAGTAAGGTGAAACTAGTGAACGACTTCTCATCTGGAAAGAAACTGAAGTCTGAAGGTTTCGACAACGAGTTAAGAGAAGTAGCACAAAATATGACGAAAATAACAGATGCAGCAACGAGACAGGCAGTTCAAAGTGCCTATGACGCCGTTAGAGCAACTGTTGTGGAAAGTCAAGAAAAAGAGTTACAACAGACCAAAACAGACCTAGTAAATGCTTTCTTAAAACGAAAAGTCAGGTAGGACATTATGCTGCAGATGGAACATATGTGCCAGCTGGTGGAACTTATATACCACCAAACCCTCCAAGAGAAGCACCTGCACCAGGACTACCTAAAACATTTACATCGTCACATGGACACAGACACAGGCATGCACCAAAACCAACACAACAACCAACACAACAACCAACACAACAACCAACAGTTCAAAACACTGCACCACAACCAACAGTTCAAAATCCAGCACCACAACCAACAGTTCAAAACACTGCACCACAACCAACAGTTCAAAACACTGCACCACAACCAACAGTTCAAAACACTGCACAGCAACAACCACAAACAGAGCAAGGACATAAAAGAAGTAGAGAACAAGGAAACCAAGAATTCTTAAAAATGCTTAAGGAAGACTATGGTTACCCAGATACTCTTGACTTTAGTGACAGATATAAAGAAGCTATTAGAAAGTTCAAGGAAGGAAATACTGACCCGAACCTATTTAGCTTTATGGTTCAGCACCAAATGGGATATAATTTCAAACCTGGAAAATACAAGCTCGCTAAGGGATATGATTTAATAGCATATCATCCAAATGACATGACTGAATTTACTCCGAGATATTTGGTGTCAGAGATAAATGATAATTCAACTATCTTCATGAAACGCGTAAAAAATAGAGACGGAACGAAAGAAGAAAGGGTTATGAATGCGGATGGCTTAAATAGGGAACTTGTTAAAAACGGTCTCGGAATATATGAAATGCCAGCAGATGAGGTACAAGAAACTCCACAGGAAGAAGTTCAGATACAACCAGACATGGAAGAAATAGTTCAGCAACAACAGCTAGAAGAGCCTGAAGGAAACGAACAAGTCCCTCCTTTGGAAACTAACTTCACAGAACTAGATGAAGATTTGGAACAGCCGAAAAATCTTGACCCTCAACAAGAGTATGCGGAGAATATGGAATCTTTCCAAGAGTCTAAGAAAAATTCAGCTGACATAGTAGAAGAATATCGAAAAATGTTCGCCGACATACAAAAGACTCCAACATCAGATGAAAATATTCAGCATAGAATGGAAGAACTGAAAGAAAGTGTACGCAAATACAACAATCCTTTTTACTTACGACCATATAACGTTCAATCTTTGGCTGAACTCGGTGAAAATAAAAGGTTAAATTTCACAAAACATATAGAAATGAAACATTGTTTAAAGTTCATTCAGAACCTAACCAATATGGAAACAAACCTACTTTTGTTTCTGCAGACTATGGAACTACAATGAGATGGGGTCATAAAGCTAATCCGGATAGGTGGTTCATAAACTTACAACCACAATTCCAAGAAGTTGTAGACGCAATGGAAGTGAATGGTGAACCAGATATAGCTGGTATTTTCAGCGCGGCTTTAATGCCATTGAAAGATATGAAACATGCAGATATTTTGGACCAGTATGAAATGAACATGGCTGATGGAAATATAACACCTGACGTTCTAGAACATTTATCTCAAAGAACTACACAGAACCATAAAGATGGTATATTTGGTGAAGAGTTTAGAAAGAAAGTTAGGGAGATAGAAGGAAGAGAACCTATTGTACATGACCTTGCAAACGAAAGTTTGCAAAATGTCATAAAAACTTACTTTGCAGACAATGAACTGAGAAGGGATGAATATTTAAGAAAACTCAAATGG